ACATGAATTCTTGCTTCAAAAAGACTAAGAATTAAAAGGCAAAATGTGATTTGGAAAGCACCCCTGGTGAGTAGTAAAGAAAGGAGTTGCAATACCTCCCATGTCTAACCACACATATTTCCTTCCTCCCACATAGCCTGTGTGACAGGGAACCATGGTCAGCCCTAAACCACCTCCTACGGCACCCACGAGTCAGAGGGTGCTGAACAAAGGGAAGGAGAGACTATGGCACAGTGCTAAGTAGGATGCACCAAGGCATACAAATGAAAGTTCGATTGTAAATGGCGAATGCACAGCTTCCTGGCAAACAAGTGTATTTTCAGATAACATCTGCAAAAAGTCAAGAGAGTTACTTGATTTCCTGTAAGCCTGGGAGAATTTGACTAGGTATGATGGAACTAAGGATTGCGCTTTCAATATACACACAGATAAAAACAATGCATGGCACTAAACAATAGAAGAAAATTGAAAAGCCTGTGCAAATTACAAAAGATAAATTAGGATAATTCCTGATTTGACAAAAGGATTCACAAGATCTTCTCTTTAAGTTATTTCCTTTCACAGTGCATCTCAATATTTTACAAACACCTTTTCCAGGAACAGTTTTTGTTTTTATTTTATTTTTTTTAAAGAGAGATTTTTGCTGTAGGGCACATGTGCTCACCAGAAAGAGAGACAGAAAGTGAGAAATCACGGGGGGATGGTGTGGGGGAGAAGATAGCTATGCCACTATCCCTACTCCTCCATTCTCCTCTTGGGATCTTGGGTACACATGCACATGCACCCAGTGTGAGTTGTAGGCCCCCGGGTGTGGGACTCGAACCATGGTCAACTGTGTGGGAGTCCAGTGACATAACCATTATGCCACCTGCTGGTTCTATCCAGGAGGAGATTTACTGCATACACTGAATTACATCTATTTTCTTTCCTTTTTAAAAGAAGAACTACTTATGGGACCAGCAGTTAGTGTAATGGCTAAGTCGCTGAACTCCCATGTACCGTGGTTCGAGTCCCGGACCCGGTGGCTTAAACTCATGCTGGGCGTGTGTGTGTGCATGCCCAAGATCCTGAGAGGAGAACGGAGGAGAAGGGATTGTGGCATGGCCACCCCCCCGGAGGGGTGATTTCTTGCTTTCTGTCTCCCTGTCCCTCTCTGTCTGTGGGGCGAGCGCATGGCCCTATAGCAAAAATCTCTCCAAAAAAAAAAAAAGAGAAAAGAAGAACTACTTATTTATTTAATTTCATTTGTTATTATTTTTTAATTTGACCAGAGAATGACAGAGTGAGAGAAAGGGAAAGGCAGCAAGCAAGCCACCAGGTCCAGGACCTGAACTGTGGTCGACCATGTGGGAATCCAGCGCCCCCAGCCACACCACCTGCCGGCCCCAAAGGACATCTATTTTCTGAGGCCATGAACCCAAAAGATTTTTTCCAGTAGCTTCTATATAACTTTCTTCTTCAAAGGTATTCTGAAAAAGAATTTTTTTTTTTGGAGAGATTTTTGCTACAGGGCGCGTGTGCTCGCCAGACAGAGAGAGATATAGAGACAGAAAGTGAGAAATCACCCCCTGGGGGGATGGTCATGCCGTAATCCCTTCTCCTCCATTCTCCTCTTGGGATTTTGGGCATGCACGCACATGTGCCTGGCGTGAGTTTAAGCCACCAGGTCCGGGACGTGAACCATGGTCGACTACATGGGAGCCCAGCAACATGGCCATTACACTAACTGCTGGTTCCCGGTATCCTGAAATTTTCTAAGGTATCACTGATAAGTACTTACATGTCCCACTGGGCCCCAACAACAAACCCCTATGACACAACTGATGCATATCCAAGTTTGTCCCTCTTACGAGACAACTGACATGTGTTACTAGTCTGGCCAAATCCAGTCTCTCACATCACTTCTCTTACTCTATTACACTGCCCAAGACTCCCCCGAACATCCTGTGCAGAAACATTCTTTCAGACCTCGCTTACCACTCCCTTTCTACCTCTCGACTTCCTCACCCTCAGTCCTAGCCAGACTATCTTTTCACTTGCTATTTTCCTTCTGGGAATAATTGCCAATTTCCTGACATTCATGGAACAAAAAACCCTCTTATAAGTAAGATACAATATCTGAGTTCTTTTTAAGTTGGCAAGGAGAAAAAAAATGAAGTTCATGAGTCAACAAGGCAACTGAGGTAATGATCCATAACTCAGTTTCTCAAGCAATCCAGAAATCTGGATTGAGTTCAGTTCAGGGTCAGAAGACCTGTTTGATTTTTTGGATTGCCAGAGGAAATGTTCTCCTGCCAGAGAGAGAGACACATACACAGAGAAAGACAGGGAGAAACCACATCCTGATGGGGCATGGCCATGCCACAATATCACCTCGATTTCATCAGGATTCTGTGTGTACCTGTGCCCGCCATGTTTGTCGAAGTGCTGAAGCTGGGGTTTGAACCATGGTTGGCATGTGCGATCTAGCTCCCAAATGCACAGTGCTTAAGAACTTAGCTATGGGGCCGGTCCTGGTTTTTATTCTGATCTCTTTCAATAACTGTGACTTTGGCCAAATAACTTTTATAAGACTCATTTTCAACATAAATGTTTGCTTGCAAAATTCAAATGTTTGTAGGAGCACTGTTCAGTCTCTTCATAGAATCATGAAACTAAAAATCAAAATAAAGGTATTTTGGAAAGTAAAGAGTAGTATTCAACAATTTTTGCATTTATCTTAGAAAAATAAAAGTAATCTTAAAATTTACTTTTATGATTTTAACCATTATTTTTATGAGAAATACACCAATGCGTATGCGACAAGGAATTGCAAGAAAAAAATTATATGAAATTAAAAAGGAATGAGGCCAACGAAAAGAATGCCACTGAAGAGCAATCACATGACCCTGTCACAGCCACCTGACATGTGCCCTAGATGAAGCAAAAGTCTTTAAAAGATGGCTGTTATCACAAAATGAAACTCAGGATTCACCTTAATGAAGCTCATGTATAAAATAAAAAGTTAACTCTCTTGGGCCAGCAGATGGCATAGAGGGTAAGGTGGCTGAATTCCACATGGCTTATTTTGTGGTTCGAGTCCTAGATCTGGATGCTTGAAAAATATGCTGGATATGTGCATGCATTCCCAAAATCTCAAGAGGAGAATGGAGGAGAAGGGACTGCAGAGTGGTCATCCCCCCGGAAGGTGTCCACCAAGTCTGGGGCTCGAACCACTGTAGACTACGTGGGAGTCCAGCGACATAGCCATTACGCCAACTGCTGGTCCCAGTATTTTTTATTTTAAGAATTATTTTATTTAACTTTATTTATTTATTTATTTTAATTTGATCAGAGAGGTATAGAGTGTGAGAGAGAGAGTGAGAAAGCAGGCTGCCAGGTCTGGGACTTGAACTGTGCTCAGACATGTGGAAGTTTAGTGCTTTTAACCACCAGGCTACCTGCTGGCCCCAAGAATATCTTGACGTGTACACCTAAATTTATCCACATTTTCTAAGAACACAGATGCCGATATTAGTGTTTTGGGATCAGAGACTGAAGCTTAAATAAAAGTATAAAGGTTTAAAAAAATCATTGTAGGAGACCAGCAGGTGGTGTGGTGATTAAGGCACTGGACATTCCCACATGGACAACAAAGGTTTGACTCCCGGACCTGGTGGCTTGTTTTCTCACTCTTGCCCCTGCCCCCGTCCCGTGGATCTCTCTCTGGTCAAATTAAAATAAATGAATGAATAAATAAAATTAAATAAATAATTCTTTAAAAAAAGTCATTATAGACCTCTGGTTCGAGACAATTTCTGTACATTCATTTAACTCCCTGTCTCAGATTCCCACTAAGATGACCAAAGGATGCAAACAAAGAAACAAATGATCAGCACTGAAAAATGGGGGTGGGTGTCATCAACATGCAGACACTAGAATGATGTTCTCTACTGCAGAGGTCAAGCAGGGCAGACCAGGGGCAAGACGGCCAGTCCACGTGCCGTGCAAAAGCCCAACGAGAGAGAAAACAGGAGAGGGCACGCCTCAAGCCTCTGGGGCTCCTTTCGAAAATATACTAGGTGCCAGAACCCAGAGCGAGAATTATCATTTTTTTAAAAAGTTTGTGGGACCAGCAGATGGCTTAATGGTTACATCGCTGGACTTCTCATGTAGTTGACCGCGGTTCACGTCCCGGACCCGGTGGCTTAAACTCACGCTGGGCACATGTGTGTGCATGCCCAAGATCCTGAGAGGAGAATGAAGGAGAAGGGATTGCGGTATGGCCATTGCCCTGGGGGGTGATTTCTTGCTTTCTGTCTCTCTGTCTCTTTCTGTGTTTCTGGTGAGCGTGCGCATCTAATAGCAAAAACCTCTCAAAAAATTTTTTTAAAAAAAGTTGCTACAGGGCATGTGCATGCACCAGAGAAACAGAAAGTGGAAAAACATCCCCCTATGGAGGATGACTCTGCCGCAATCTGTTCTTCTCCATTCCCCTCTTGGGATTTTGGGTGCACACACACATGTACCCGGCATGTTTTTCAAGTCAGAGGGTCAGCGACTTGAACTGAGGAGTCAGCCATGTGGGATCCAGGGCCTTAACCACCACACCACCTGCCAGCCCTATAGCTAGTTTGTAAAACCACAATTCTGGGCCGGCAGGTGGTGTGGTGGTTAAGAGTGCTGGACTCCCATGTGGCCAACTGCAGTTTGAGTCCCAGATCCAGCGGCTTACTTTCTTACTTTCCCTCTCTCTCTCTTTCACTCTGTCCTTCTCTAGTCAAACTAAAATAAATAAATAAAATTAAAGAAAATAACTCTTAAAAAATAAAGAGACAATTCAATGTTCATGCGTGAAATTTGCTTTTTATATGGTCTTACCCTGTTTCGATGTGGGTAAAGAAACAGGTTTTATACATTTACATTTTCCCAACGTTTAACGCAATTCACCTAGTTACATGAGATATGTTCTGCTAAGTTGCCTCTGAACTTCTGGAAGTATCCCTAAGGGGAAAACCTACCTGGAGGACTGAGAAGCTGAAGAACTTCGGTGTGTTCCATGGCCTGCAGGAAATCGCTCAGTTCTGTGACTGTACAGCCTTTTTCCCCCAGGAGCTTCAGTAAACACAGGCTGGGGCTTCCTTCAGGTTCCAACACCTTAAGGGAACATTGCTCCAGGTCCAGGCAACTGAAAACAAAGAATGACTGAAGTCAATGACTTTCTGCAACATGACATGCCTGCTACACGTCTGGACCACTCTCGGGCTGTCGTGAATGAACTCCGAGTCCTGGTGAGCGGTGAGAAGTTATGCACATTATAAACACAGTGTCCTTTCCTCCTCCTCCATCCCTGTGGACCTCTCTTTATTCCTGTCTTCCACCCAGCTCCATGATTACGAAATTAGAAGAATAAGACAGAAACTTTAAAATGGGATGTCGAAGAAATTTGGATAAAAACTTTTGTCTTTAATTCAGGAATGGGAAACAGGGAGACTAGAAACATCTCTTTACTCCTTCTTTGAAGATGATGAGGTACAAGGTGATTTGAAACAGAAGCACAAGTAGGCCAGGTTATGCTGCCTTCGGAGTGAAAGAAATACTCACTGCTTCATTCAAGAGAAAGCAACATTGGATAGAACAGTCGCTGTTACAAAGTCAGCAGTTAAAAAAGTAAAGTATCCTGAATTACTAGTTAAACAAATTGTGATAGGGACCAGCAGTTAGTGTAAAGGCTATGTTGCTGGACTCCCATGTAGTCAACCACGATTCGAGTCCCGAACCTGCTGGCTTAAACTCATGCCGGGTGCGTGTGCGTGCAAGATCCCGAGAGGAGAATGGAGGAGAAGGGATTGTGGCATGGCCATCCTCTCTGGGGGGGGTGATTTCTCACTTTCTGTCTCTGTCTCTGTCTATCTTTCTGGCGAGCGCATGCGCCCTATAGCAAAAACCTCTCAAAAATTATTTTATTCAACTTTATATTTTTATTTATTTTAATTTGACCAGAGAGGGACATAGTGAGAGAACAAGGGAGAGAAAGCGAAAAGCAAGCCACCAGGGCTGGGACTCAAACTGTGGTTGGCCATGTGGAAGTCTAGCGCCCTTAACCACCTTGCCCCTGCCAGCCCCCCTCAAAAAATTTAAAAGTACTGGGACCAGCAGTTGGCGTCATGGATAGGTCACTGGACTCCCATGTAGCCGACCACAGTTCAGGTCCCAGACCTGGTGGCTTAAACTCACACCGGGCGTGTGTGCATGCATGCCCAAGATCCCAAGAGGAGAATGGAGGAGAAGGGATTGCGGTGTGGCCATCCCTCCTGGGGGGGTGATTTCTCGCTTCTATTTCTCTGTCTCTCTCTGTGTTTCTGGTGAGCACGTGTGCCCTATAGCAAAAACCTCTCCAAAAAAAAAAATAATTAAAAAGTACTGTGTATTCAAAAAGAGAAGAGAGTTACTGATATTAAAAGTACTGCTAAGTGTCTAGAATACCTAAGGATGGGCACACTAGGGTCCACGGGCCAAATGTGTCCAGCCACCTGATGTTCGTAAATAAAGTTTTATTAGAACGTAGCTATGCTCATTCATGTATATGTTTATATCTGTCTATGGCTGCTTTCCTGTTATAAAGGCAGAGTTACACAGTAGGCCTGCAAATTCAAAAATATTTCTGATTTGTCCTTTAACAGAAATAGTTTGCTGGCCCGGGTGTGGTAGTGTGGGTGGTAGGGCGTAGCTGCACGATACTACAACCACATGGGAAGTTTTGGGGGATTGACCTGGACATGCAAGCAGGCATGCACATGATCCTGGTTGGCTGGAAGCCTTGAGGGAAGATTATGACGTGGTAAGACCTGTCACGGCCACCTCCCCTCAGGAAAGTAAGAAACAAATAAGCTTGGGGGCAGCA